CAGAGTTTGCGATTCTTGGCACAGGCGGTGGTAGCGTGAGACGGTTTCTGATCCGGTTTTGTAGGGTTCACAGCTTCGGGAGGTAGGTTGGGGGGGGCGGGGATCACCGGGGTGGCGGATCCGGGGGCTTCCTTGCTCTCTTGCAAAGTTTGAGGATCAAAGTCTGGTCTGAGTGAGTTGATTTCTGGTTTGGGGGAGCGGGGAAGACAGAGGTGTAGACTGAGTCATATTCTTGGCGGGAGGCGGGGGCGCGGGAACATTCGCAGCCGGGAGGGGGGGCGCGTTTGCCAGCTGAGAGTCCGGGAGCCCATTCCGCCCCGTGCTGGGCGGGCTTCTTTCTCCGTCGAAGATCTTCTGAATTTTTAAGGAGTGGGAAGGGGGAGCGCAGAGGGAAGGGGTGGGTGGGGGAATGGGAACCAGATGCCGGGGAAGGGCACGTTTGGAGCTCGAGTTATCTGTGCGCAGAGCGGAGTGGGGAAATTTACCGAAATTGGTTTCACCTGCACACAGCCCTGCGGCTCCGAGTGCGCGTCTTTGGAGTGGATGCTGTCGGGGGGAGGGGAGGAGGACAGCGGGGAGGCGAGGGCCCCGCTGCCCTGCGTGCACCGCGCCGAGTGGGCTTTTGGAAGGTTGTCTCACACCTCGCGTGCCCCTCCGCCCTGTAGATCTGGTTTTGATTAGATCAATACCCTTTTCTCTCCCCCTCCCCCCTTCCCCATCAACACTCCCCACCCCGCCCCCCAAGAGTGCGGAGCTCAGATTTCGCCTTTGAAAAAGCAGCGTCTGATACTTTAGATGAGCACCTCGCAGATAGCTGGGTTGCTTGATTTGAATTTGAGGAGTTGAAAAGCCTGTTTACTTTTTTGCTTTGATGTTGGGTAGATCTGGTTTTGATTAGATCAATACCCTTTTCTCTCCCTACCTCCCCCCTTCCTTTTCTTTCCAGAAAGGAGGCTCAGATGAGCCCCTGCTGACTTGAGAGAGAAAGAGAGACCACGCTGATTGCCGAGAGGACCTGGAAGAAGAAAAAAAAATTCCCCAAACTCAGTGCGGAGAACTCGCTCACCATGAGTAGTGCGGTGCTGGTGACTCGCCTGCCAGACCCCAGCAGCAGCTTCCGCGAGGATGCCCCCCGACCCCCAGTCCCTGGTGAAGAAGGGGAGACTCCACCATGCCAGCCTGGGGTGGGAAAGGGCCAGGTCACCAAACCCATGCCTGTCTCCTCCAACGCCAGGCGGAACGAGGATGGGTTGGGAGAGCCTGAGGGGCGGGCATCTCCGGATTCCCCCCTGACCAGATGGACCAAGTCGTTGCACTCCTTGTTGGGCGATCAAGATGGTGCTTATCTCTTCCGGACTTTCTTGGAGAGGGAGAAATGCGTGGATACCTTAGACTTCTGGTTTGCCTGCAATGGATTCAGGCAGATGAACCTGAAGGATACCAAAACTTTGCGAGTAGCCAAAGCAATCTACAAAAGGTACATCGAGAACAACAGCATTGTCTCCAAGCAGCTGAAACCTGCCACCAAGACCTACATACGAGATGGCATCAAGAAGCAACAGATTGATTCCATCATGTTTGACCAGGCGCAGACCGAGATCCAGTCGGTGATGGAGGAAAATGCCTACCAGATGTTTTTGACTTCTGATATATACCTCGAATATGTGAGAAGTGGGGGAGAAAACACAGCTTACATGAGTAACGGGGGACTGGGGAGCCTAAAGGTCGTGTGTGGCTATCTCCCCACCTTGAATGAGGAGGAGGAGTGGACTTGTGCTGACTTCAAGTGCAAACTTTCACCCACTGTGGTTGGCCTGTCCAGCAAAACCCTGAGGGCAACAGCGAATGTGAGGTCCACGGAAACTGTTGAAAATGGATACAGGTAAGACTGGCCAGGGCATGGCGGGGTGGGTGGTGGATGATACTGGACTTTGCATATGTTTTGAGTTAAGTAAGGTAGATGGGATGGCTGGGTGGATGTGCTGCAGAGGCTGACAAAGGTCTGTTGAGAGCCAGGACCTCTGGCCGTGAACCCTTTGATCTTGCTTTTTGTTGTTTAAAGGGGGAGGGGGTGTTGTACACAAAGCTAAATGCCTGCCGTCTTCCAGTGCTAAATTCAAACACTGGCGAGCGGTATTTATTAACGTGGGTTCCTTAGTATCCTGGGCCAGTCTTAGGGTTGAGAGAGAGAGAGAGAGAGAGAGGACAGCAGCTTTTGATGCCTCTGAGTCACCAAATGCACTAAGCACCGGTTTTGGAAGGGGTCATTCACCACTAGTCAGTGGAGAGTGGAATTAATGTGGCTAGGGAGGCAGCCGGGTTGTGGTGGAGACGCAGGAAATAATGTGTGTACCCATTGGATGTGGGGGTAAGTGAGATCTTTTGAACTATTATGTGAAGATAAGAGCCAGCAATTGGCTTAACAGCTGAGCTTGTGGGTCTCTTTGTAGAATTAGGTTTTTACCCAGCAAGAAACCCTCCTGACTAGGGAGGGCCCTGTGACTTTCCCTAATGAAGGACCCTTAGCTCTGGAGTCTGCTGGTATATTAATCTAGGTTTTAAATACTTGCAGCCCGAGGGGCAGAGCTGGGTTGATTATTTTGTTGCTCTGCTGACAGAGCAGAGGTCCTGGCCGGAGAGGACAGGGGCCCTGGAGTACTTTCTCTTTTTGAAGCTTCAAAGACAAACAGCCCTTTACAGAATGGCCAAGTCTTAAGGATCTTGACCTTTGCAGGCAACTTCAGACCTCCTGTGAGAATGAATTTTTCTGTTTCCTCCTCTCCCCTTGCTGAATATTCAAAGAAAGAAAGAGCCTCTTAATTCTAGGTTGTTGCTTATGGCATGTAAGGGAAGGAGGGTGGGCTCTTGATTGCTATCTGAATGGCTTATCTAGCTAGCCATTGTATATTTTTCCATGTGTTAGGGACCCGGGCTGCTTCTGTGGAGATTGTCCTCTCTCTGTAGGGGAGGGTCTCCAGTGTCCCATGGGAGAAGCAGCAGGAGGGGCAGGTTAGCCGGGTCTGAGCCTAGGAGCAGTGATTTAGGGGCAGCCAAGACAGTTCACTCTTCACGCATTGGGAAGGACTAGTTCTCCAACCACCAGGGGGCGCCCTTATGGCCCTAGGAGCCACTCTCAGACATCTGGTCTACACGTAAGTGCAAACGATTGGCTTTTCCATAGGACCACCTGAAGGAGTTGCTTCAGCATCTTTAAGCTTATGGTTTCACGTTGTTTTGGAGGAAGATAATGGGTCTGGCCTCTGCGGCTGGGCATTCACTGGGCACCTGCTGCTACTTCCCCGTTCCATTATGTGGACATTTGGTTAAACCTCTGCCAGCCTCAGTGCTGTCCACTTTGGCAGTGGTCACTGAGACTGCTTAAGGCCTGGGGTAAGGCTGCTTCTCCTGGGGCCTTCTAACAGTGGGGCTTCTGTGTCTCCCAGTGTCAGGACCTGGAGTGTCTGTCACCTTTGTAAATAGCACCGTGTGTGGTTTTGAATGTCATCCGTAAGAAAGCACTCAGAGGCAGGACCCTGCTGTGACCCCTCCCCTTCGTGGGTGGGCAGTAGAGACCTAGCCTGGGGTGCCCCTCCCCCTTTCAAAGGCCTCAGCTGGGATCGTACCAGGATTAAAGTTTGGGGAGGTTGCTCTTTGCGAAGCTCTTTGATCCTGGAAGCCAGGGCCAAAGATGCTTTGCGCTTCCAGTACTTGCCTTCTTGATGCGTGACCTGTGGGCATTGTTTAGACGTAGACGGCTCCTTTCCGTGGGCCTCTTGAGTTTCCATACTGTATGCTTGTGTGCTTTCTCCCACTGTTAGATTGAAACGAAGTATTTTACCTGGGCGTCATGAAGCCCCAGATGTGTTAGCTGGGCGTTGTCAAAGAGACTTTAAGCCATACCCAAATGTCATTTTTACACGCAAGATATTGAAATGCAGAATGGTGTATTGGGAGGTGTCCCAAATTATTCAAAGACCCGGGTCCCAGCCGTGTCCACCACTTACTACCCCGTGTGCCATCTGTAAAATGAGCAGGCACCATCCCTTCTGTTTATGCCGGGTTGCTATTAGGATTGAAATAATAAACATGAAAGCCCTTTGCAAAGGGAATTGTTTTGAACACATGTAAAGCGTTGTAATTAGTATAATTTAGTAACGATAACGATCAGGTATGTGAAAAGGGCAACGAGGTTAGGATACCACTTTCAAAGAGTGACTTTTGGGTCCTAGCCCATATTCACTGTAAAGCTTTAAAGTATTCCCTCTTCCCATATGTCAGCTTTCTCCCCTTGCTAAACTTCAGTCTCTTTCCAGCTAGTTCTTGGGACGCGTAGGGGTCCTACGTAACTCTTTAAGCCCCTCTCCCAGTGCACTCATCAAACACGGTAGCTGGCGTATGGGACGGGCTTAGGAAGTTAGAAAAATGAATGAAGGGGAAAACCTGGGTGGCGCTCGGGGTCTCCCTTCATCTGCTGCTGCAGGCTTGGCAGCTGGATGCCCAGAGCACTGGCTGGTCTTCCAAGCCCTGTGTTTACCCCGGGCACTCAAAGGAGCCTCATTTTTAATGACTTGTTTGTGTCCTTACTGATTTGGTGTCAGGTTTAATATAAATAGTTGGAACGGAAGAGCAGGAATTATCCTCAGAGGGAAGGACTCTGGTTTGCAAGTGGTTGAGTGGGAGGCCTGGGCTTTTGATGGTCTCTATAAATAACCAAGAGCAAGAGTGACCTGTTGGTAGAAGCACGTGTGAAAACCCCAGCACACAGACACACACACAGAGTGGTGAGGTGTGTGTGGAGGGGGCTGTGGGCCCAGGAGCTCAGCCCAGCATTTATTTTGGGAAGGAGAAGACAGCGTTGGGTGCACAGAGCACTCCCTGTGCCCTTCCCGTTCTGCACTGGCCCTTCCTTGTGTGTTGCTGCCCAAGGCGGGTCTCATCTGTCTCTCATTGGACCCTCTGCTCTGGCCTCACTTAAAATAAGCCGGGCCCAGATGGCCCTCTGCTGGCTCCAAGTGCCTCCTGTTCTCTGAAAGAACTCGCTGATGAGGCGCGTTTTTGTGCGAAGCCATTGGAATCAAGCTTGGCTTCAATTATCAAAGAAAATGATGCCATAGGAAAGATATGCTGGAAGCAGTAGGCCACAATTAGGGGATGGAAGCTCTGATGAAGGCAGTTTGCTAAGATACACTTGTAAAAGTTTGCCTGTTTTCTCAAGGCCCCGTTGCCCGATGCTGTCTGAATGTCCCTTGATCGTGCCTGAGAAAATGCTTGTTGAAGACGAGTGTTGCCTTTTGGGCAGTGACTTTGTGAGTAAATTGTCAGAGGGCTTTGGGAAAGCCTAAACGCAACCCAGCCTGAGAAGCAAATACTTTTTAAGCTGCATCGTTTTGAGAGGGGACCAGAAAGAGGTCCCAAAGGTCACTTCTGTTGTACTCTTTTTAGGGCAGCCTTGCCCCGATGCCTGGGGAGGGGGCAGGGGCCAACAGCATCTCATCAAGAGATAAGAATAAGCTCGGGGACAGAGCAGCAAAACATTTCACTCCCCTTCGGGACGCGGGAGCCTCCGCTACCTGACAGCTGAAAGTCCTTTGCATATTGAAGCTGCAAACTTGGTATGCCCAGTGCATAATCTGTACCATAGGCCTCCACTCTCCCGAGGAATTTAAAATCCTTCCAGCAACTGGGAGCACAAATCCTGAAGAAATAATCAAAGCATCTGGGTACAATTACTGTAGCATGGTCGAGTTTCTTTCCGTTGTTTTTTTTTTTTTTTTTTAAGTAATCACAAGAAAACAACTCTAATCCATTTTTTTTTAAAAAAAATTATGTGGTCATTTTGACAAAGTTTGGGGTTCTTAAAAATTGCGTTTCTGTCTCTCCCCACCTCCCTGCCTCCTTCCTCCGCCTCATCGTGTTATGGTTGTAGGAAAATCTAAATACTCTACTGCCGTCAGCTGAGCTAAGAGCAGCATATTCCATTTTTAACGACTGGTCACACAGTAGCCCTCTATTTTGGAAGCGAAGGGAAAGGAGTTTATTTTGGGATCCATGTGTTCTGGTGTGCAGAGCTGTGAGCACAGCCGGGATCTGAGTTAGGTGCCTTTTTTTGTTGGGGCGGGAGGAATGTCTCGAGTCATTTTCTCCCCGGAGGCTGAATTATAACCCTTGGGTTCGGGACATTGTTGATGTGTTAATACCACAAAGATAGCAACACTGAAGGAGTGGAAAGAGTTTTTGTGTTTGAAAACTATTTAAGGCTGTTTTGATCCTGCACTGTGCCTCTTAGACTGAAAAAAAAAAACAAACAAACCCCAAAAAACCAAAAAACTTTTCAGCAAGCCATTTGATGGTCCCAGGTCCTTCAGGGATGTTCAGCAGAGTTTTGAGCTTCTGCCTCATGCCATGGACTCCGTTCAGCACTGGGACACACGTGTGACGAGGACACATCTGGTCCTGCCCTCACGGAGCTTACAGTCTCATTGCCCGGGGCAGGCATTCAACACGTAAACACCCTGACACTCTTAGCTAAAAGTCACGGTCACTACCGCGGAAGAAAGGGCTGCAGGAGGCGTCTGTTTTCGTTGGCGGAGGTTGGTGCGGAGGATTAAACAGCCATTGCCCCAGAGTGCAGTGCCCTCACTGGGCCTTCTCAGAGGGCGTGAGAGCTTCGTGCAGATGGCCGTGCTTGAGCCGCGCGTGTTTTGGGTGGCTGCCCGCCCCCCGTCCGCGGAGGCTGTGACTCCATGACTTACCCACGGTCACCCAGCTGCCCGGGAACTAAGACAGCACCAGCGCTCAACCTCTCGATTGCCATTCTTTATCAAGGGCTTCCAGAACTTACTCGTTTTGGTGTTTCTGAAGATAGGAAGGGATCCCGAAGAAATGATCTTGTCCATCTTGCTCCGAGCAGCAGCCCCGTCCAAACACCGCAGACGGCTGGGGACTTTGGGCTGTCCCCATGACCTGCCCCCTGCGTCCACTGCACCGGCCATTACGAAGTGCTTTCCTCTTTCCGGCTTAAGAAGCCACTTCCTCGCGTTCTGCCTTCAGTGGTAATGCCAGACAGAACCGTCCTCCCCTTTTTGAGTTCCCTTATCAACGAAGACTGTTTTGACTGAATCGTCCCTCATTCCTTCTGTTCTTCAGAAAACCCACTGCCTTTTCTTTGCTGTCACCCCTCCCTCCTCTCCCTAGCCCTGGTACCTGGGGACCCCCAGATTGAGGGCCTGGGGATGGGAGACCTTACCATCCTCATGTAGTCATCATACAAAGACCTGGGAGGTGGTGAGACCGCTCCCCCTTTACAGATATGAGAACAGGACTAGAGCGTCCAAGTGACAGTTCACGTTCACTCGGCCCAAGGTATTTGATAGGTTCAAGTGCGACGTTCCTCATTTGTACTTTCTAGTCAGTTCTACGCCTGTGTCACATTTCTAAGACCTGGCTTTATGCTCCCGTCTTGCTCAGTAGAACAGAATCAAGGTCCCTGCCACCGAGCTCCTCCAGCGGTCCGGACATGGGTCTCGTGGGGTCGAGCCTCCAGCCTGGCGGCCTCCCACGAGGTTTTTGCCCCACCCCCACTCCACTGGGGCTCCGGGACCCCCTTGGGTGGTTGTAAGGATGAAGGACGATGATGTGGCAGGGGTTCATTGAGCACCTTCTGTGTGCCAAGGGTGCAGCAGTGATAAAAACAAAGACCCCGCCCATACTAAGTGCTCGTTCAGGGGTGGCCGTTGGTTTTTACGAATACTCCTAAACTGAGGGGGTTGGCTTAGATCGTTCCTCAGATTCATCCTGGCTCTAAAGTGTCATGACCGTGAACGTAACTTCTCTCGCTTGGTTTTGTCACTCCAGATGCCAGAGCGAAAGCCCCTTAGAGACGGGAACTGGCTCTGCCACCTTCAGCTCTGCCCCCCAGCTGCCCCCGTTGCGTCTGGCATGCCACCCCGTGGCAGCGACTCCCCGTCCCCGCCACCTCCTCCTGCCCCGCCTGCTGGCACAGCCTCTGGCTCACGTGTGCTGCCAGGAAAACCCTCCAGGCCCCCTCCTCCCCGTGCCCGTCCCTAAGCCAACTGGTTCATCCCCAGACTGAGGAGGACTTGTAACCGCATTTTCCTCCCCTGGTCCTGGGCGGCCTCTCCTCAAATCCCTGCTTTTCCCATCATGGTTCACCGTGCTCCCACCTGTCTCAGGAAGCCCTCCAGCCAGACACGTCCCGTCCATCGCTGGCTGTGCCGGCACGACCTCCTCCAGGTCACTCGTCCTGCCTCTTCATTCGGGAACTTTTTCAGATGTGGAGGCGCGTCACTGTGTTAGGAGACAGGAAGAGAGGGTGAGCTGGGGCCGGACGAGTCCGTCCCGCGCCCACCAGTTCCGGCTCTGTGATCCAGGCCCGGCTGCTGTGCTGGGGACCACCAAGGGCACACCTGTAAAGATGGGCACTGGGCTCCTCCCTGAGGTGGCTGAGGATTAAATGAGATGATGTGTACGGAGGTGTGCCCCTCTTCATGGGCCTGCGATGACACTGTCTGCCTGCCTCGTGGCACCCCGGCCCCCCCCACCCCCCAAAGACCGGGGCTGGGCACACCCAGGGTGCGGTGCAGTGCGGGACACGTCGTCAGTGAGCAGAAGCTCAGTGAGCACACGCTGAGTGCTTTGACCTTGCATGGGTTCCTCTCAGCTGCCAACCCCAAGGTCATCTACAGATGGGCTGCAGTGGCCCGATAGGGTAGGTTCTCTTTTTCTCTGAGCCGATCTCTTCTGCAAGCGATTTCTTTGCTCTTGGTGTACACTTGGCGTGAGCCGGGTCTTTGTAAATAGGCAACTTCAGGCTTTACGGGCCCCTTCCTCCCCCCGCCCCAAACCCCCGCTTAAGTCCCTCACTGGTGACACAAGACGAAGGCGGGTTCCGAGAGGAGATCGAGAGGGCGAAATGGGGAGGCCGAGGCCACAGAAACAGGAGTGGGGAGACACCGGGGGAGGGGCCTGGACCTTCCTTCGAAGCAGCTGTGCTGGCCTTAGCGGCCCTGGGAGAAGGGGGTCTGGGTGGGGGAGGCGCACGGAGGCCGGCTAAGGATGGGATGGAGTTCCTGACCATCACCTCGAGCTTTTCCGTCCCATCCGTCCACCTCGCTGGGCCCAGGGTGGTGGTGGGAAGACCACGCCCGACTCCCGGCTGTCTGCACCCCGGCACTGTGCCAGCGGCTGTCATGGGAGCTTAAGATGTCTTGGGGCCCTGAGACTGTGTTCTTGTGGTGCAGGCTTGGACAGGGGGCCAGGGGGGTGAAAGATACCCCATCTCCCCCAATTTACTCCCCGCTTTTATTCCATAGCCTTTCCTCCTGTACCTCCCCCTTAAGTATGAAAGTGTGTATTTAGAACTTCGAGGATCCCCTGGACCGCCTCTGGGGTCCTCTGTCCCTGGAAGACCTGCCTTTGGGGGCAGAGGAGCGCAGCCCGCTTCTTCCCCAGGGCGAGGCAGTAGCTCCACAGGCCCCTTTTGTGGCCCCTGCTTTCTGCCCAGACGCGCTTCCGGCCCCGGGCAGCAGGTCGGCTTTGGGCAGATTGTAGGATTGTGCACTCGGTTGTCCTGGGCCAGCTGGCGACCCGGGCTCCTGGCGAGAACCAGCGATGCACTGCTGTCCTTCCGTTCCTGCAGGTCCTTCAAGAGGAGCGAGCCTGTCAATCCGTACCACGTAGGATCTGGCTACGTCTTTGCACCAGCCACCAGTGCCAATGAGAGCGAGATATCCAGTGACGCACTGACTGACGACTCGATGTCCATGACGGACAGCAGCGTGTAAGTATTCTGGTGTCCACATCGTGTACGTGGCTGGCACTGCGACCCACCGGGCCAGCCGGCCAGAGTCCCAGCCTTCCTCACCTGGTTTGCAAATCCCATATGTGTGTGTGTGTGGACACCTGTTTGATGGGGGGGTGGAGGGGAAGGTGCCAGGGGTGTGGTGCTGCCTGTTGAGGGTGACATGGTCGGCTGGGTAGTGTTGAGCTTAGAGCCTTGAAAGGAAAGTTGAATAGTCCCGTAACAAGAAAACTAAAGTAAGGTAGAAGATGAATATCTGTAAATTCTTTGAGCTTAACAACCCATCTTCTGGTTGTCATTTTGCCTGCCTTGCCCATGGGCGGAAGTGCTTGGCTGCTCTTGAAAGCCAGGTGTCCCATCTGCAGAACCAGCAGGTGGGGGACAGGATGGCACCAGAAGGGTTTGTGTTCAGGTGTTCATTGTCTTTGAAGGAAAAGGCATCGAAGGTGGTGTCAGAAATTCAGAGCTCTAAAGGGCCACTGTGTGTGATGTCCCCTCATGGGTATGTTTGCATGGACATCATCCAATTCAGTAAGTGTTGGAATGCCTGCTCTGTGTCGGGGGAGAGGGGTGGTTCTGTCCTAAGTTGGGGTTGCCTCCAAAGTCGTGCCCAATCTTACACCTTTTACAGATTGATGGCAGGGTCATGCTTTGAGTTTTGGGTCATTCGCGATCATGTAGGGTGATCACTGGATGGAGAACAGTTCACATTCTGTATAAGTTTCATAGGGTGTGTATAGGGGGTGTGGGCCAGGGCACCCCCATCTCCTGCCATCCTTTGAGATTCTGATTCAGGAGACCAGTCAGGGAGCCCAAACTTGGATAAAACTGCACAAGGGCTTCTCGCCCAATACCCCGTTGAGAGCCACCCTCTAGAAATGTTCTCTGAAGCCTTTGCCCCAGATACTTTCCAGTAGGAATTTCTGACAGGTGTCCACACACACACACATATGTTAAGCTCAAGGAACAGTTTTGAAGGGCAAGACCATTGAGCGGTGTGAGTTCTGGCAAACGTACTGAAGAGTTTGTTCCTTTTACCGGACCATCTATAATTCCAGCTTGTTTGAAATGATCTGGTTTCTATTGGCCAGCGTCTTGTCGCTTGGCCATGGAACCGGTTGGAAGGAAGAGTGGGTGAGGCTGCTTGGGGACTCTAGTATTGATTGAAGTCACGTGGCTTTTACTGTGTTGCCTCAGATTCCCGTTAGTAAAGGGAGGGAGAGCCTTAAAGTGAAGCGTTGCACTTTAATAAAAGAATAGCATTTTGGCATGAGTCAAAATAAGGTAAGGACACACATCTCTCATCCAACATGGAGAAAAAAAAGATGGGGATCCACAGAAGAAAGCTTCCCACGAGGCCGAACTCTTTTAAGTCATCACACTTGAAAACAAAACGATACTTTGATGGACATAACTTGAAGAAAAATTGTACTTTGATGAACATAGAATTTTTGCTCTGTCTTTATTGAATAGTATTAGACAGGCATAATTTATTTCCTAATCTGAATAATAACTGTCAAGATCTGAATTTCATATCATCAAGAGCTGTTGTAGTATTACCTCATGGAATACGAGGTTACATGAGGCTGTCTGCCCCCCACACATTGGCACCCCCATTTCAAAAATGGTTTTTCTTTTTTGTCATCTTTCTGTTTGCTGTTATATATGTATTTTTGTCATTAGCTATGTGCTTGCTACTAGTAGCATTATTCCTTCAGTTTTTATGATTTCGTGGATTGCATGGGCATCTTGGCATTACGTGTAAAGTAATGGTAAGTCGGATTTGAAGGGAGGGCACTGAGAGAATCTCCTAAGTTGGAGTGGTTTACATAAGTCTAGAAGACTTTGTTTAGTTTTCTTAGAGGCTAATTTTGGCTTGCTTCCTGGGCCCCAGCCTGCATTTTGGTCCTCATCATCGAGGTGTTATTCTGGGTTCATGATGAGATAACTCGGGTGTGGTCCTCGTAGGTGTCGGAGCCTCCCAAGACTCAGTCGGAAAGGTCGGCGGTCCCTTGTGACTTACAGTTGGGGAAGTAAGGCTCGTACTTGAAGGCTTCTCACGTGAGGGATGGAACCAGGGTCCAGGCCAGATACAGACTCCTGACCTTTACCTGACACCCCGCACCCCCAGAAGCACAGACATTCCCAACACGAGTTACGTTAGTAGAACCAGTTCATAATGAGACCTTTGAGCCACTTTGAGTTTCTTTTTTATTTAGTAATGATCACTCACACTGCTGCCTTTTTAATGGGTTGGGGGAGGGGGAGGAGGGAACATGTTTTATCTTCTTCCTAGTACCCTCCTCCTTCGTCCCTCTTTTTTCATCCCCTTCCCAAAAGACAAACTTCCTCAACTTCATAGAGGTGGCATTAAAGCTCTCAGCCTTCCCTGCTTTGGCTGAAACACTGTGGACTTGCGCAGGAAAACCACTTTCAGGGGTCAGAGAAGTTACCTGTGCGAGTCAGTCCGTTCTGGGTAGCAGGGGTTCGAGCGTGGGCTAGTAGGGCCCCCTCTGATACAGAACCAGAAGGGCAAGTCCCTCACTTAACAGCTTTCTCTTTGGGACACAGCACATTCCCTTGGGTCCCAAATGGCAGAAGCTCAGGTTCCTCCCGGGCGAAGCTGCTTTGGCTTGGTGATGAATAAATCAGGATGCCAACGCCGAGAGGAGGTACCTGGAGACTGGGGGCTCATAGTATTGGATCTCGTCTTCCTGACGTCAGCGTTGGGAGGTGCTAAGCTTTCTCCCAACCTAGTGGGCAGGTCGTCAGATGTCACCATGGCAGCTGGACCCACCTGAGCATGTTTATACCAACTGGAAGGGCATTTCTCATGGGTGCAGGATCACCCTCTCGGGAGTAGTTTGTCCAGGGCTGTTGGCTTCATGCTTCCTGTGGTGGGGACAAGGAGGTCTTTAGAGTAAGAGCTAAGTGGATGGGATGTGTGTTCAGGTTAGAGCTTCCTGTGGGTTCAACTGCCAGGGACTGGGGGTCCCCAGGGCCCTCCCTGCTCTCCCGTCCAGCAGACTCCGTGTACCCTGAAAGCCAGGTCGTGCGTGGTACTTTCTGGCCGGCTGGCCCTGGGTGTGTGTGATCTGCCCAGTGTCAGGCGGGTCACCCGGGATCCCAAGGCTGGGATTAGACCCCTCTTCAGAGCTCTGCCAATTGTGGGCCAGGCGCAGATGAGAGCACTGAGCGAGGCAGAGAGTGTGTGGGGGATGAAAAGCCGAACTGAATCGCTTTCAGCCCATTGTTCATCCGGGAAAGCTTAGAGGGATAAGAGGGTAACAGGCCCCTTTGAAATTTCCTGGGCCGAGTGAATAGGAGCGCCCCGTAAAGCATGAAAAGGTCCTGGCTGTTTCTCCTGGTCACAATGGCCAGCTCGGGGGCTGCCAGGGGGGCTGCCAGGGGCTGGGGAGTGGGGCCGGCTGCCCTGCTGGGAGCCGGGGAGGGGACACGGCCGGGTAGGGGGGAGAAGGAGTCACAGACGGCCTTCAATAGACTCCAGAAGGTTGGAGTTCATTAGATACAAGCCCGGGGAAGCGATTGTCTCATTTGCAACAGCACCAATTAAGTCCCGGGGCCTTAGCGAGAGGCCTGGGTGGAAGCTGGGCAGGGCCAGCCCCGCGCGTGGTTTTTCCAAGGAGATGGGACACCCAGGCCTGGAGGTGTGCCCGTGGGCAGGGGCTTTAAAGGAATCATCGCCTTCCCCCAAAGCCCACTGCTGACTTCTGTTTTCCCACTAAGTAAAAAGCCCCGTTAAAGATGGCTGGGATTTGGGTCTTCTCAGTAGGCCTCCGAGAAGGCTGTTTTACGAGCCTGTTCCTCTGAAGCCTGCCTTTCTCAGAAGGAATGGCTTTTTCAAAAATTTTTTTTTCTTCTCTTTTGAAAGTTAGCTGCCAGACTGCTAACGACGTCCTAAGTCTCAGTCTTTGAAGCATTGGGGACAGAAGTGTTGTGGGGCCGCTCCTGGGCACGGGGTCTAGGAGGATGAAGCTGGGGGTCCATAAACCTCAGAACCAGCAGATTCTTTGCTGCCCAGGTGCGATGTCCCTTCTAGAGGCGGCCAGGAACTGTGAAAGCCACGCCCACACGGCATGGAACCGGGTCACCATCTTTTCATTTTGTGCAAGAGCCGCCCTTAGGATCCGGACCCCCTTGACTCATAGGCTACATCTGCTCTAGGGTGGGGGGGCGGGTCACAGAACTTAGGGCGAGACATTTCACGCCGGTGGGGGGAGGGGGCGCAGGTTGTTTTATTTACTTATTTTTATTTCCTTGTATCTTCTTTACGGGTTTATGTTGGACACCAGGGAAAGCATCTGTCCGTGTGAGCTTCAGATAGTCCCTTATCTTACAAACCGGGCTTTTGATGCTGGCGGTGATGGGAGGCGGCCTTCTGAGGGGCCGCCAGACGGAGATGCGAGCGGGCGCCTGAGCGCACGCGTCCGCCGTTTCAAAGCCTCCGGAGGACGACGCTCAGGTTGGGCCGGGCACTGCCGAGTTGAAAGGCTAAGCTAATTGGCTCGGCTTAAATGGCAGCTAAGTGGAGTCCACACTTCAAACCCAGTGCGCCCCAGAAACAGCTGGGCCCGGCAGCGGGCTCGTTAGCTAAAATGTTTATAATGAAAGGAGACTGCACGGGACCGAGAGTCGGGTTCTCTCCAGCCCGCAGTTCTGAGCAGCCGGGAAGCGGCGCATGGACTTTTAGAGCCTGGAGAGAGGGAAGAGAGGCCCCCTTCTGGAATGAGGGGCCTGTTTTGGAAGAAGACGCTTGGCCGGGGGAGAATTAAAGCCACATTTCCTCGAAGGCGCCTGCTAAAGCCTCTCTGAGCCTCTACAAGTTGCAGCCTCCCTTTTCCTGCAGTGGGTCCTTCAGCTGCCCTGGCTGTAATGGGGTGTGTCGGTCGATGGGAGGAGGTGCTTAAAAATCATTGATTCCTCTAAACTTTAATTGGCCTGTGACCTGCTTCCCCTGCCCACCTTCCATACCTCCCTCTTCCCTTTCTACATTTTATGGAAAAAGAAAAAGAGGTTAAAAAAAAAAAAAAAGAAGCCATAGCACCGATTTCAGTCTGGGAGGAAGGGAGCAAAGTGGGAAGGCTCCTGGAGGACACTCGAGGACAGAGTCTTGGAGGAGATGGACGGGGGCCTCCCTTAGGACTCGAAGTCCTGTGTATGTCCCAGTGAGGGCCATAGGGTGTTTTGACTCCTGCCCCCCAAGATCGTCCAGAAGAGGCCTGGAACAGTGCCATCCACTCTTAAGTCCACAGAAGAGATGCTGGTCAGGAGAAGGATGTGACATTGTCTTGCAGCCCTGGGTAGCAGAATTCGATTAGCCCAGCATGAGGCCCCATCTGTGGGACCCATTTTCGGTGGGAGACGGGGACGGGATGGTCACTGTGGGGACCCAGCTGGCATGCCCCGTAGCCAGTGAGGACGAAGTGGTGGGGGAGGACTTTCCAGAATGTTATCCAGATCTCCCATTTCCCTTTTCAGAGTGTTTGGGGACTCCCTGGGCCTTAGGGAATGGCGCCCCCACATTCAGACAGGAGGCTTGGCTTCTCCTCTTGAGGCTGGGAGTGTAGGTTGTTGAGTTAAGGATTGAATTTGGATCCGGGATCTAAATCACTCACTGCTGACTGTGACGCCGGTCATCTGTCAAAGGCGGTCATCTGTCAAAGGCGGGGAATTAGGGCTTCGGTGAGAGCGAAGCTGGATTATACGTCAGGTGTGTCTGACCCACAGCAGGAAGTCGGTATGTGGCGGCCGGCAGCCTCGCGTTGGAATCGGTCACCTGGCGTGGAATCTGGTTACTGGTCAAGCCACGTATGCTTGTGAGAGCCCAGTTTTCTGCCATGTCTTATAAGCGATCCCAAGGTGAAAACATTGAGTTTTGGTAAATAAGCCACAGGCGATTCAGTAAGTTTCTGGACCGAGAACCTTTATCCTACTTGGCCTTCAAGGGCCCGGTCAAGTCCCAGGCCTTAGCGAGTAGAGGCTCTCTGGGCGACTCTACCGGCTCTGGTCAGCTGGCTAACGCCGCCTCAGGTCCTGCTGGCTCTGCCCCTCTCAGCCGTCCTCTGGAACAGGACTCACAGGTGTACGTCCTCGCTTTAGATGCTGTTCTGTCTTTTCCCCTGTACCCTCAGCATGATCGATTATCCTTTATGTGCTTGGCTAAGAGGTCATTGATCTGTCGATCTGCCGTGGTCTGCACCATCCGCACGGCGGCCCCGTTCTCTGGCCCAGGTCAGCAGACTTCCGGAAAAGGCAGCCACTTGGAATTCTAGGGCCTCGCAGATAAGGAGCCAGAGGTCAGCGTCCGGCCGCCCCTGGGTATTTTTAGGCCCTGCTGTTTTTCACCCACTGCTGCTGAGCCAGAGATGTTTTTCTTCATTGCACTCTATGATGAGAAGAAAGGGAAACAGTCCAACACCTCATTTCCATATTTACAGCCTCCGAGTATGATTCAGTATGGAACTGTTTGAACCCTGAGGCTTTTGTAAATAAGTGGCCTCCGGTGGGAAGATTGTTCCACCTTGACCACTCCACTGCCTTCAAGAGCAAGATTCTTTTTTAAAAACATCATAGCAACTGTGGGTCATGTTTCGAAGGAAGACCGATTGGCCTGTAGCGTGCAGGCTTTTCTTACCTCCTCCACTTGCTGCTTCTTTTTTTAATATAACGATGAAGGCCATGGGGCCCATACTGCCTTCAGGTCTTTGCGAGGACACTGTCCCCCTTCCCGCCCCTGGCGTGCCCGAAAGCCAGTGAGTACTAAGCGGTGGGAGAAGACTTTGAACTTGCCACTCCCGCCCCACCCCCCACCCCAGTGGTCCTCGCTCTCATTTCCTGCAGCGGACTTCATCAGGGTACTTACCACCTCCTGAGGAGATGTGAATTTTTCTTTTTTTCTTTTGGCTTATTGTCTGGGCCACCCCCGTTAGAATCTAAGCTTCAAAAGGGCAGTCCTCTGCATTTTTACCCACTTTCTTCACTGCTCTCTTGCTCAGTAGCCTAGAACAAGGTTGGCTCATAGTAGGTATTCAAATAGTCGAATGCCACATAGTAGGGGCTTTCTATTGATGCCCCACATTGGTCCATTTGACACTTCATTGGTTAGGAGTGGTAGGGTTTGGAGCCGACGGAAGGAAGAAAACCAAAGATAGGCCTGTGGTGATTTATAAAAGGGAGAAATTTGGAAATGACGGGAGGTTGACCTTTGGAGAACTACGCATACCCTCGCTGATGCCCGCTTAGCCTGCTGTGGCTCTGGTCCCTATTCCTATTTTGCCCTGGTATACTCCGTAAGGCACACCTGGTTTCCTGATTTGGGGTAGCGTGTTGCCATGGTAATGGACTGTTAGGCAGACCAAAGGGGTCTTAGAATCTCCTGCTTGGGGCACCTATAAAAGAGGGGAGCCTTCACTCTGGGCTGGCTGGAGCATGACCCAGTTCTGAGAGAACAGCCTGAGAGATGAGCTTACCAAACTCTTTCCAAGTCTGTGGTCCCGAGTCCAAGAGGGAGCCATCTCCAGACACGATCAGTGGGCAGGAGATTCAGCCGTGGCCCCTGGGACAGGTGGCGCATGCCCATGGAGGCGTGTGGCCCTGTCCGTTGGTGGGGTCTCTGCATGTCTCGTAGTGTCCCGAGTGCTGAAAGCATCCTCATGAGTCCGTGGGTTCTGTCTTTTCCTTTTCCTTAGAGATGGAGTCCCTCCTTACCGTGTGGGGAGTAAGAAACAGCTCCAGAGAGAAATGCATCGCAGCGTGAAGGCCAATGGCCAAGTGTCTCTACCTCATTTCCCGGTGAGTATAGCCTGTGGGGGAAAGCGGCTGCTCTCTGCCATGCTGAGTCCTGAAGGTGGGGGATGGAAGCAGGAGGGGAACAGTAGGAAAGGTAGGGGGAGCGGCGCTGGGGTCATCTAGGGGAAGGGGGTGGAAGGAAGGACCAAGCAAGAGGTGCTGGTGAGTCACTGGGGTGCGACGCTTGGTAGAGCTCACGCTGACCTGCCCGGACCTTTACGTTTTCTCAATCCTCAAAAGAAGATTCTCGTGAGAAAGCAGCCAGTTCCTTCCCGAAACCAGGACATGATAGGTGATAATCCATGTGGCTCATTGGGTTCCCACTAGAACGGAAGCCCCCCGAGCTTTGTCCGTTCCGTTAACATCTGTATCCACAGACGCTGGAACCGTGCCTGGCACATACTAGGTGCTTAATAAACACCTGTCGATTGACTGAGTGAACGAGGAGGCTAGAGGTGTCTCTGCCTCCTGAGGGAGGAAAGTCACATCTCTGGGACATTCTCCTTGTGTTGACTGTGCAGCTTGGTCTTTTCAGCCATCCTTTTACCTGTTTACTCGGCCACTTCTCTTGCTGGCTTCTGAAGCTCTGGAGGGCAGCCGTTCTAGCTTGTCTGTTTCCAGCCCCAGACCTTGGCTTCGTACCGCTGTTGAATCTGCACCTAGCACGTGCTAAATGAATGACGTGTGTAGAAATGAGGATCTCATGAGCAGCTTCTTCCTGTAGTTGAGATGAGAGGCCAGTGTGACGTGGACATTTCTGGGGCCGCCCCTTCTGTTTCTATGTCCTGGAGGAAAGCCAGCACGTGGCCCCCTGTCTTTAAGAGAGCCTCTCGTCTACATTTTAGGAGCTGAGCTTCTGGCAAGACCCAGTCTGCTGCTTAGGGAGGGGAAGAGAATGCCCAGCTTAGAGCAGCATCTCTGTTTGTCAATCCTTTCTGCGAGCTTCTGAGGTCCATGGGTTATGTTGCATTTAGAAAATTAACACTCTGAATTGCTAATCCCGTGTTGCCTTAGTGCAGATTATTGGTGGGGCATCTTCTCTGACAGCTCCTTGCACAGTCATGGGCAGACTTAACCTTGTCCTAAAGTTAGCATATTAAGATTACTTTCCTGGGGAAGTACCTCAGTAACAGTACCACCCCCGCCACAAATACGACAGTATCGACGATACAGACTTTTTTCGATAGGGCAGGGGTCAATGTGTGTTAATACAGGAAAGTTCTATCACCCAAGCTTATAAATTAGATAATTCCATCCTGGGGTGTGCAAATCGACTTTCTCCACGAGGCAGCCCTTTGATGGGGGGCTGCGTGGAGCCAGTGTGTGTGAGAGGGGCCATGGCCTACAGAGGGGGCTTTCTGTCCCCTCTGCAGCTAAGTGGTGGCCTTGGCGAGCCCCACTCACCTGCTGGGGGAAACCCTGGCCTGTGCGGGTCGGCTTTTGCTGCCCCCACCGCACCCCACGGAAGAGGCAAAGCCAGAGCAAAATGAGGAAGGAGGCAGAACCGCCGAGGAGGGAGGGGTGGGCGAGCCGACTGAAGAAGGACAGAGCCGGGCAGTGGGGGTTCTCTCTCTGCTGCTTTTGGCAGGCAATCTCGGTGCCTTTTTATATTCCGCACTTGATTTGGAGATGTTCCCTTTTCCCTTGATAGATCAGCTTCAGGCAGCCAAACTCAGCAGTGTTCTGCTACTAGCCCGCAGCAGCTTTCTTCATTTTCTGTACAAAGAGACAGAGAGGCGGGGTGGAGAAAAGCAGGCAGATCTAGGACAGTGTTGAGACAACACCGCCTCAAAGGTGCGCAGTGTGCGGCCAGGAAATAAATTACCGCTTCTTCTGATCCGGCCCTGCGACTCCCTTTTTTTCCCTCCCTTTTCCTCCCCCTGCCCACCTCCCTTCCAATCTTATTTTTTTTTTTTTTTTAATTTCCAGCTCCCTTTCTGTTTAGACTCTACTTCTTATTCCTTGAGTGGGTCTCTCTCTCCCCTCCCCACCTCAGAGGCTGCCTTTTTTTTTTTTTTTGATGTTTGACAACAGTCTTTGAAGATTTTCTACTTCAGAGTAGCTACTGATGGGCTGGTTGTACTACAGAGAGAACAAGCGGGGCCTCTCGGAGTGCGACCAACTGCTCCTGCCCAAGGCAAAGGCTG